TTTATGTTTTGAATTTAACCAAATCAGTCCTTCATGTTTCAAATTTAGTCAAATTAGTCCCTTTAATTTTTATTTGTGTTTATTGTGCATGCATGTTCTTGATTTTGTCTATTTCAGTCCAAAAATAAAAAAAATGTTTTGATTCGGTTTATCTCTTTTTTTTAAGTTTGCTTATTAAGACTCAAACATAAATGTAATGAATAAGTTGAATCAAAACCCCTAATGTTAAACTATGCAACCGTGTTTAAACGGAGGATTGTGAGGTGCGCATATGCCCTTCCTCACTCCTAACCGAACCCCCGAACCTTGATCTCTGCGCAGACCCGTTTTAGGTGACTTGTCTCACCTTATAATTTGGACGAGTGGCGATTTCCTTTTTCTTATATATTTCACACTTGATTTTTCAATTTATTTTGAAAATCTTAAGTGGTCGTCAACACCATCCGATTGAGAGGGGATTCTTCCAACCAGTCTTCGACTTTATCTTCGACATGTCCAATATGCTCAGAAGGCTGTATTAGAATTCATGTTCTGTAATGAGTATGTTTTAGCTTTAAAAGAATGAAGGCTTGTAAGCACTTTGAATGCAACTTTGTAATGCTTGCCCATTTTGTCTAAAGTGCATTCCTTAGTTAGTTTTGTCCTAGCTTTCAAAGAATGAAGGTTTGTAAGCACTTTGAATGCAACTTTGTAATGCTTGCTAATCTTGTTTCAAGTGCGGTAATAAAAAGCCATGTTTCAGCACAACTCATTATAAAATAGGCAGATGTCTTCGTACAAGATGGAAACGCCGATGTGAGAATCCATATGGAAATTCAAAAAGGAAATTAATGGTCCAATCGAAAGGGGCTAAAGTCTCTTTAGTTTTTTAACTTTGTTCCTTTTGTTTTTACATTTCTATTGCTAGGTAAAATTCTTCTAATCATAGCTCCACGGCGAAAGGTCTCCAAAAGGCGGCGTTCTCCATATTTGCTCAGATCTAGAGTAATCAAAATGTCAGAGGAAAACATTGCTGTTAATCCAGAGAAATCAGCCGTGGATGAGAGGGTTGATAAGTTGGAAGCTACAATGCAAACTATGGCTGCTACTCTTCAGACCATCAGTCTCACCTTGTCCACTTTGACTACTGGTTCGGTTTCTTCGCCTGCAATACCAGTTCCACCTATCCCTACCATCACACCGGGTAGTCGTGCTAAGGATCCCATGGTCACACAATTGCAACTTCCACCTATTTATGAGAATCAGCCTCTAGTGGGGGAGTCATCTTCACATGCTCCACAAATATCATCTCTACCCTTTGAAGCCTCATACCCGCCATTTGAGATGAACAACCCTACCTTGCCCACAACCTCACCTCTTATCCTTAACATACCACCCTTGAAGGGACAAGTGCCAGCTATTCAATCCAACCCCTCGGTTGCGATGCTAAGGCCTGCTTTAGAGGATGGAAGGTCAAGAGAGGTTGATCACAAACTGCAATAGTTAGAAGACGCTTTGAAGGCTATGCAAGGGCCGCAAGCTTATGGTTCCATTGATTTGGATGATCTTTGTTACTATCCAGGAAGTTAGACAAATTTCAAGTTCAAGTAGCCAGATTTTGACAAGTATGATGGCTCAGGTTGTCCTTATGCCCACTTGCAGATGTATGCCAGGAAGATGGCACCTTATGCTAATGATGAAAGGGTGCTCATTCATTATTTTCAAGACAATCTCTCAGGCCCAGCAAGTGTTTGGTTTTCAACACTTGACAAGAAGAAGATTCGCACTTTCAAGGATGTTTCTCAAGCTTTTATGAAGCAATATGAGTATAATATGAGTTTGGCCCCAACAAGGGATAGCTTGCAGAGAATCACCAAGAAAGGTAATGAGACTTTCAAAGAATTTGCTCAATGGTGGAGATCTGAAGCAGCCAAAGTCATTCCACCTCTTACCGACAATGAAATTTGTTCTCTCTTTATCAAGTCAACTACTGGGACCTTTCGTGCATGGTTAGCTCCTTGTGTGGGATATACTTTTGCTTAGTTGGTGACAGCGGGGGAACAAATTGAAGATGGACTGAAGACGGGTATCATTATGGACTTTCAAAACCATTCAAAGGCAATTAGAGCAAGTCAAGATGGGAAGCTCGGGATCTACTTCAAAGAGGTTCTCACCTAAAGGGAAGAAAGAAGATGAGGAAGCTTTGAGTCACATTTTCACCAGTGATGCTAAATCAGTTTATAATGTGGCAAATGGTCCTTACAATCGGCAGCCTCAATCGCAATACACCTCAACCTTTAAGCCTACCCCCTACCCTCAAAGAAGACCAAATTTTAATGCTCAAGCTCTGGTTAGACAACAATTCCCACCTACAAATCAACCCAAACAATTCACTAAACTTCCAATCCCTTATAGTGAGGTGTTGAAACAGTTAGTTGAAGTTGGTCTGATAAGGACATTGCAAGTGAACCCTATCCAACCACCTTATCCGTATTGGTATGATGCACAGGCTAGGTGTGAATATCATACTGTGGCGGGTCATAGTACTGAGAATTGTGCAGCTTTAAGACATAGAATTCAAGATCTCATCGATGAGGGTAAACTTCAACTTGATGTCAAAGAAGCGAAGGGTGTTCCAAACATCACTCAAAACCCTTTACCTCCACATGATGCAGGCACAATGAATATGATCACTTTTAATGGAGTTGAAAAGCCGATGTTGGAAGATACCGGTTCCTAGTCTCTTGATGAATTGTTTACCATTTTGATGGAATATGATATAATTCAACCGATTGCACAAAGGAGTTTGAATGTTCTGCCAATGATGATTGATGATGCTGTGATATGTCCTTATCATTCCAATATGAAGGGACATGCTTTGCAAGATTGCAAAGATTTTCAAAGAAAGATCAAAGAGCTGCAAGGAATGGGAATTTTGAGGTTTACATCTACCCAAGAGGTAGAGAAATTCATAGCATCAGTGACCGGAAATTACTTCACTAAGGAGAGGCCTTACATCCTACAAGATACTACCAAAGCACAAGTCATCAATCGGAATTTGCGGCAGTCTTATGTTTTGAAAACCTCTCTTAGTGAGTCACTCATGGGAAAGACATCCTTTGTGGTTATGCCTCAACATTCTACCATCTTGAATTCTACAACCAATGATGTGTCTAATATGACCCGCAGTGGTCAGTGCTATGTAAGTCCTGAAGTGGAAGAGTCGAGAAGGGCTGCCTTGAAATCAAAAGGTATCAGAATTGAAAAGATGCCAGAAGAATCACCCAAGAAGTTCGTGTCAGAAAATGAAGTGGTGGAATTTTTGAATATTTTGAGGAAGAGTGAGTATAGCATCATTGAACAGCTCAACAAAACCCCTGCAAAAATTTCTGTTTTAGAATTGATGCTGTCATCTGAGGTCCATCTTGATGCATTGCTCAAAGTCTTGAAAGAGGCCCATGTGCCTAAGAACATTGATACTCAGAAGTTTGGGACTGTGGTTGGGGCAATTTTAACTCCAAATTACATTAATTTCACTGATGATGAGATTCCTGATGAAGGAAATGGACATACTAAAGCTCTCCATATTTCAATCCAATGTAAGATGATGAATGTGCCTCACGTGTTGATCGACAATGGGTCAGCTTTGAATGTGATTCCCATGATTGTTTTGAAGCAGTTGAAAGTGGATGAGTCTCACATTAATCAATGCAATACAGTGGTTCGTGCTTTTGATGGAACAAAGAGGAATGTGATTGGAAAGATTGAGCTTCCAGTGGAAATTGGCCCTGTGACTTTTGATGTGGATTTCTTTGTTATGGATATTTCTCCTACTTTTAATATGCTTCTTGGGAGGCCTTGGATACATGTTGCCGGAGCAGTACCATCCACCTTGCATCAGAAGGTCAAATACATTGTCAATGGTGTTCTTGTCACGGTGAATGGTGAGGAAGAACATGTCATCCGAAAGGCTACAACCATTCCTTACTTGGGACTTGATCCTGGAACTTATGAGTCCTCTTATCACTCAATGGAGTGTGCTGCTGCTTCTTATATACATTCAAAGTTCAAAGGAAAACGGGCTGAAATGGCTAAACCAACCAGGGCTGCTGCTAAGATGATGCTTGCATGTCATTACCAGTTGGGAGAGGGTTTGGGATTGAATGGACAAGGAATTCTCGAACCTATTGAGGTAATTCAAGCTTGGGGCACTTTTGGTTTGGGATACAAGCCAAAGAAGGAGGATTGGCAAAGAATGTGTGCCATTAAAGTAGAGAAGCGCCTTGCTAGACTTTAAAGGAGAGATCCTAGGGATGAACCAATGTGGGTGTCGCACATTAAAGTCACATTTCCACGACCTGTTGAGATTTTGTGCCCTTCTCTTGATGGATATATGGTGAAGCACATGGATGTTTTATATGTAGATCCAGAGGGTACTATTTTCACTGATAGATTGCTTGAAATTGGGGAATGTTCAAAACAAGCAAAGTATGAGGAAGTAGTTGTGGAAGACATCATGAATGAAGTTTGTTCTGATGATGAGGAAGACAGTTTTGGTTTCAACAACCTCTTTGGGCCAGCCAAAATGACAGATCCTAAGGAGAGGTGGAGAAGGATGCTCACTGAAAGGGCATTTATGGAGAAGCACCCCAACTTCCATCTTGTTCATCATGCAAAAGCTCCAATGGGTTCACATGAGTCTGTGCTCCTTGAAACAGTGAAGGAAGAATCACTATGTGACTCATGGGGAAATTTGACTATAAATGCTCTAGATGAGGAAGGACTGGAATTTGATAGGGGAATTTCTCTGGTCAATGGAAGCTCTCAAGTTAATTGGACAGCAGAACTTCTCCCTGCAGCTTTCATCTCCGAGTAAGAAGAGTCAACCTCTAGTAGTTCTGCTTGTGACTACATGAAGGGAGGGATTCAACAAGCACTTTTATATTTTTTGAAATTTATGTTATCATGCTTCTAGTATTCCCATGCTTTCCTTTTCAATGAAACATGTTGCAATCCTACCTATCATTGTAAAAATCATCATGATGCAACTTTAGTTGAACTTTCATTGTACAAGCTACTCTTTAATGACATATTTTATGGGGTTATCCAGTAACATGTTCCTATCTTTGCTTTATTATCATTTGACCTTTTATTTACTTCCATTCCAAATTTTCAGGCCTGCTAATGATGAATCTTTAAACAGTGATGCCATGCCAGACTTTATATATGAGATTGATGATCATACCTATAAAGAAGAAGACAATGAAAATCTCGATCCTTTTCATGAACTAACTCAAATGCTAAGACAGGAAAAACCGAAGCTGCAACCAAATCAAGAGACAGAAACCATTAATCTGGGTACTGAAGATGACAGAAAGGAGATAAAAATCAATGCTCATCTATCCTCAGAGGAAAGAAATGAATTGATGGAGCTCTTATTTGAGTTCCAAGATGTTTTTGCTTGGTCTTACAAGGACATGCCGGGACTTGATCCTGATATTGCTGTTCACGCCATTCCACTCCATTTTGAGGCCAAGCCAGTCAAGCAAAAGCTAAGGAGGATGAAGCCAGAGGTTCTGTTGAAGGTCAAAGAAGAAGTGCAAAAGCTGCTAGATGTCAATTTCATTGAAGTAGCTATGTATCCGGAATGGGTGGCTGAGTTAGAGTCTGTGTGGATTATAGAGACTTGAACAAAGCAAGCCCTAAGGATGATTTCCCATTGCCTCACATCCAAATTCTGTTAGATAATGCTGCCAAAAATGCTCGGTTTTCTTTTGTTGATGGCTACTCTGGGTACAATCAGATAAAAATGAAGGAGGAGGACAAGCTCAAGACAACATTCATCACTCAGTGGGGTACCTTTTGCTACAAAGTTATGCCTTTTGGACTCAAAAATGCCGGGGCAACATACCAACGCTCTGTGATTACTTTATTACATGATTTTGTGCATACCATTGTTGAGCTATATGTTGATGACATGGTGATTATGTCCAAAGAAGAGGTGCTACATACAGAAAATCTCAAGAAGGTGTTTGAACGCCTTAGAAGATACCAACTGAGGCTCAATCCTGCCAAATGTACTTTTGATGTGGATTCGGGAAAGCTACTTGGTTTCATTGTGAGCCATCGAGGAATAGAGATTGATCCAGCCAAAATAAAAGCCGTTGATGAAATGCCACCACCAAAAACCCAAAAGGAAGTCCGAGGTTTCTTGGGTAGAATTAATTACATTGCCCGTTTTATTGCCAACCTCACCACCATTTGTGAGCCTATTTTCAAACTCCTCAGAAAAGACAACCCTCATACCTGGAATGCCCAATGCCAACAAGCCTTTGACAAAATCAAAGAATACCTCAAAAACCCACCAATCCTTGTGCCACCAACTGATAAAAGGCCTTTCATCCTATATATCACTATCCTTGAAAAATCCATGGGAGCAGTCCTTGTCCAACATGATGACTCAGGCAAGAACGAAAGGGCCATCTATTATGTGAGCAAGAAGTTCAATGATTGTGAAAGTAAATACTCACACTTAGAAAAGACTTGTTGTGCCTTAGCTTGGACATCCAAGAAACTTCGCCACTACATGTTAACCAACACCACTTACCTACTTTCAAGAATGGATCCCATAAAATTCATTTTTGAAAAACCTACCCTTTCTGAAAGAATCTCTCGATGGCATATGCTGCTTTCTGAATTTGATATTGTTTATACAACACAAAAGGCCATCAAAGGGCAAGCAATTGCAGATCATTTAGCCGAACATGCGGCAGAGGATTATGAGCCTATTGATTGGGATTTTCCTGATGAGGACATTTTGGCAGTGGAGGCAGAATCTGATAATTGGAAGCTCTTCTTTGATGGAGCTGTTAACCAACTTGGTTGTGGCCTTGGAGCCGTGTTGGTATCCCTAAAGGGTGAGCATTTTCCTATTGCTATAAAGCTTGATTTTGCTTGTACCAACAACGTAGCCGAATATGAAGCTTGCATTGCAGGAATACATGTTGCTTTGGATATGAATGTCCGAGATTTGGAGATATATGGTGATTCAGCACTAATCATATGTCAAACAAATGGTGATTGGCAAACCAAGGACCCAAAGCTTATTCCCTATCACCAATATCTTGAAACTCTCATCAAGAAATTCAGATTCATCTCTTTAAACCATATGCCCCATGCTAAGAACCAATTCGCGGATGCTTTGGCTACTTTAGCCTCCATGATCCAAATCTCCAATGATGATGTAATCAAACCTTTAAGGATTGAAATTAGTCAAGAACTAGCACATTGCATGGAAATCAAGGTTGATGACAAACCATGGTTTCATGATATTAAACAGTTCTTGCAAAATGGGGAACACCCTCTACATGCTTCTGAGGTGAACAAGAAGACAATCAAAAAATTGGCAGCTTCATACTTCTTGAGCGGAAATACATTGTATAAGCGCTCTGCTGATATGACCTTGTTGAGATGTGTTGATGAGACAGAAGCAAAACAAGTCATGACTGAGGTCCATGAAGAGATATGTGGGACACATGCAAATGGAAGAATGCTTGCTAGAAAAATTCTCTGGGCTGGGTATTATTGGTTGACTATGGAACATGATTGCATCAAATATGCACGAGCTTGTCACAAATGTCAAATCTATGTTGATCATATTAATGCTTCGCCTTCATTACTGCATAAAATGTCCGCTCCTTGGCCATTCTCCATGTGCGGCATTGATGTGATTGGGGCAATTAATCCTAAAGCTTCCAATGGTCATCAATTCATCTTGGTTGCTATTGACTATTTTACCAAATGGGTAGAAGCAGCATCTTATGCTAGTGTTACAAAGAAGGTGGTCACTCGCTTCATCAAAAGAGAGATCATCTGCAGATATGGGCAACCAGAGGCCATCATTACTGATAACGCAAGCAATTTGAACAATGATATGATGACTGCACTATGCAAGCAATTCAAGATCAAGCATTTGAACTCTTCTCCATACCGACCAAAGATGAATGGTGCAGTGGAAGCTGCCAACAAGAATATCAAGAAGATTCTAGCTAAATTGGCAGTCACTTACAAAGATTGGCATGAAATGTTGCCATATGCTCTCCATGCTTATAGAACCTCTGTTCGCACTTCAACTGGGGCACCACCTTATTCCTTGGTATATGGAATGTAGGCAGTATTACCAATTGAGCTAGAAATCCCTTCTATGAGAATCTTATCCGAGTCAGGGATTGATGAAGAAGACTTGATTCAGAAAAGGATAGATTATCTCAATTTGCTTGATGAAAAAAGATTGGCAGCTCTTTGTCATGGCCAATGCTATCAGCGACGAATGGCAGCAGCTTACAACAAGAAAGTCAAACCTAGAATATTTCATCAAGGAAATCTCGTCTTAAGAAAGATCATGCCGAATGAAAGGGACCCTAGGGGCAAATTCGCACCAAATTATGAAGGGCCCTATGTTGTTAAAGAAGCTTTCTCCGGAGGAGCACTCTTGTTGAGATATCCAGATGGAACTGATTATCATCACCCGGTGAATGCCGATGCTGTCAAAA